ACAATATATATTTTTGAAAGCATTCTTACTTTACAGCATTTTTTCACACCTGCCTAAAACTTTTGCACAGTACTATGTATTCGGCATATAGGTTAAATAAAATAAGGAGAGAATATACATCCTATTTCACTCCTTTACCACCATCTGAACTGTGGACTATATAGGTTTAGCATGAGATCAGTAAGATGTCTTAAGCATATGACTTGGGGTAGAAATCTCCACCCTATCTTGCTTCACTTACATAAATAGGAAATTCGTAAGAGATTTGGGCTTATTTTTACACATTCAGTGGGGAAGATTAGAATATGATAGAATAGTGCTCAATCAATAAATGTTTTTAACCCACTGCATACCGCCTTGAGTTGTTTCAATTAGGCAGCCCTGTATTATTATTATGTAACTCAGAAGTTTATGCCAAAAAATTGTATTTAGATCTCTGCAAGGATTGGTGGTTTCAATTCATTGTCCTTCAGTTTACAAAAGGGACTGGAAACTTAGTTTTATGTAGAAATTGAATGCTGGTCTTCCCACTAATACCAGATGAATAAGTTAACCAGCATCTTCCATCATCTGTGCTGGCTCCCTAATATAAGAGCTGAAGCTCAACACATCTGGAAGATATTCAGGGAAGTAAGATTTCAGCACAAATGTCTGCAATAACTACACTGTTGGATAAAATATTGAACACATGCAACTAATTAAGGAGCAGTATCTTCATAAATGATGATCTGTCTCATCTGTTACTTAATTGAATAATTTTGTTGAGTGTGAAAAAGTATTAATATTTTATTGGTGTTGTTTCTCTTTCCTCCCCAAACAGCTTCTGAAGGAACATGCAACACAAATAACTGATCAAGATTCTTGGTCTATAATAGGACAATTCTCAAGTATTGGATCTATGGGAGTTGATCAGTCCAAATGGCTTTGTTCAGAATTTAGAGAAAGTTTGGGGACTTTAGGAAGCAGTATGAAGACTCTCCCAAGTGAAGTTCCTATCCAACTGGTATTGGCTGCTTGATACATACATACATATATACCTGTGTGTGTGTGTGTGCGTGCATGTGTGTGTGTGAGTGTCTATGTGTATTTATAGTCTTTAGAAAAGTTAGAACAGCAGGCCATCTGCTACTGGGACATTTATTTATATATTACCATTAAAAGCATAAGACAACACGCATGCATATATATTGTTTTTTTTAGAAGTTTCTAAAATCCAGTGTACAGAAAAATAGTGAGGTTTAGGCTGAGTTTTCTTGAAACATAACATGGCAATGAATGGATCAGATTCCATGCTTCAGCTTGATTATGCAATGGACTGCAGGCGGCTAGTGAATATGGCAGTAACATCAGTTAAAGGGGTAGAAGTGAATTTTTCTCAGTTTCTTTAATGTTTTCTCTTAATTTTTCTCATTATGTTTTCTCATTAATCTTTGAGATTAATCATCTCCAATCCCTCTCCCAGAATAAACAGAAATTGCTGATTTGGAATCATTTTAGTGGGGTTGATGACCTTAAGGACAGGGGTTCAAAATGGGGGCCCTTCTCCAAAATATCTTGCTCCAATCCCCACCCTTAAAACTGGAGGAAAATCCCAAAATATGGAATCAGTCCCCCAAATGCTTGCTATGGAGAGATAAGGGTATGAAGAGCAAATAATTGCACCACAGAAAATGAGCCATTTTGCCATCAAATTTTAGGAGAGTGGTCTGGGTCTGTTGATTGCTCACCCTTCCTATAATACCTTGTTCATCTCCACAAAACCTCTATTTCACTTTTTTTTAAAAAAAAAATCATTTTCAAAACGTTTCTTTAATTCTACCAATCTTTGTCAAAACAAGCACTGTGATTTAGTCATGCTTTGAATAGACATACAACTCTGTCCAGAAGCTAGTTTCTGTATCACAGATTTAAAAAAAATAAATTGTAGCTGAAATCTCAAACGTGATAGCAGATGTGTTTTCAGAAAACCAGTAGCGATATAAAACTTGACTAATATATACTCACGCTTGGTTACTTGGCAATATTTTGGTGATTGGTAAATTGAATAACATGGATATTTATATCAACCTGAAACAATCATGATGTACTTGTTATAGCTACCTGGCACTACATTTGCTTTTATTTGTTTGTTTAGATTTTCCCAACTGTGGAAAACGTGAGACAGAGTTTAGAAGGTTATCCAGGTAAAATATATATACATTCCTGCCTTTGAGAATAATGTTGGGAGGCCACATGTCAGAATTAAATAATTGATCTTTCTCTTTTAGCTGGGGGTTCTCTTCCGTATAGTATGCAAACTGCACAAAAGCAACTTTGGCTGCACTCTTACTTCCAGTAAGTGAAATGCTGTCTTCATGGTTAGTGTTTTTAAAATAAAGGTGTAATCAAACTTTAAAGACTAATACTTATTGTGCCTTTTATTTCTAAAATGCTTTAGAAAGATACTTGTATTAGTTTTGGCTTGGAATGTCCGCTGTAAAAATCCAAATGGAGATTATATAAATTGAGTTTCAGATGCATTATAATTATTAACTTTTAAAAAATGGCTTAGTTATTATATCCCAATCAATTGATTTTCCAAAAATGAAGCCTAGTAGACATCTCATATTTTAAACCAACTCATAGTTGGAAAAGAGTAGTTACTTTTTCTTGTATACAGTAGTTTTGAAAATTCAATTATAAGTTTATGAAAAACTGCAAGTTGAATATAATTAATCTATCCCTAGCAGGACAAAAAATTAATGAATTATGTCCAGGAATCAAATGCCAACATATGCACATGTCAGTAAATGTTACCATTTTTCTGTTCCATCTACATCCCTATTCATTTCATATGCATCCATTTGTGCATGTTATACCCCTCAACATGTAAGTATGGCTTTAGGTGTAAAGTATGAACAACTAAACTGAGAAGGGGAAGCTAAAAAACATGTATACTGTACAATGTTTTGTATGTCTGTTTAATTTTGCTCTATAATTATTGGAATTGTTGGCAGATTAGAGTTTTGCATATGATTGGTAAAAATATCTAAATCAGCCTTCCCCAAACTGGTGCTCTTCCATGCTGAGTGGGACGTCTCAGAATTTTAATCCTAGTATATTTGGAGCAGTGTCAGGTTATAGGAGATTGGCCTAAACTATACCTGAAAAGGTTATCATATCTTTTCTATCACCTGTTGGAATATTTATTTGTACTACTTTAACACAATTATGTACATGAAATGTGATCAGCCAGGTTCTTCTAATGTGTTGGATTATGGTTCCCATTATCCCCTGTCACCAGGAATGGACCTTTTTAGTTGGGGTTGATAGGAACTATTAACCATTACATACACACACACACACACACACACACACTTATTTATTTATTTATTTATTTATTATTAAATTTGAATGCCGCCCATCTCCCCCAACGGGTGACTCTGGGCAGCTCTCAGTAACAAAAAAGAAAAAACACACCAATCCCTCCAACAGTGGCTAAAATCCATAAATAATTAAAATACAAACATACATTAAAAACATACATTACATTTTGAAGTCTCCAGATTAGCAACAGCCACTACACATAATTTGCCCACCCTAACTAGAATATTTCAAGTAACATTCAGTTGAAGAGAACAAGGAAAAATAAAATACTTCTGGCTATAGATACCACGTCCTAGGAATTTGAATCTGAAACCTTATTTGAGGTTTAATCTGAAAGACTCATTTCTTTTTTTTAACCCAAGCAAATGGTCAGCTGAAACTTCAGGTCGCAGTCATGCAATGCCACATATTAAGACTTACATGAGAGTATCTCTGGACTTCCAGAAGATTGCATGGTTTCTAGTGACAAGGTAAGTCTTATGTTTTTTTCTATGTTTTCTCTTCAGATCCTTGCATTCTGTGCATAAACAGAACTAATATTTTCTTCTCTTTCTTGTTTACACCTGCTTAGTGCCAATCTTTCCAAGGCTGCTTGGGGAGCTTTTGAGAAAAATGGCACCCAGCTGATGATCCGATCATATGAACTAGGAGTTCTGTTCCTGCCTTCAGAATTTGTAAGTTCATTCTAATCCCATACAAGGTTGCAATGAATGCAAACAGAGCCAGTTTCCTTTTTATCCACTGCTCAATGTCAGAAATGTATTTGCATAAGAAGATAAAAGGAGAAGTATTTTTCTATGTGCAGCTCAATTCCTAAGAAAATTATTAGTTACCCAATATTAAGTAGGCTCATTTAATGATTGCATTAAATTGCAAAACTAAATTATACTTTAATGCTAGGAAAGGAAGCTTATGTGAGTCACTGATTTGTGCATTTCCCCCAGTCATCTCTGCCATTGAAAGTGGAAGATTCAGTACTTGATTAATCACACCAGTCCTGTATTCAACAGGATAATTTTTTTCTGGACAGTGACTACCCTTCAACCTTAAAAATAAATTGTGGGTGCCTTTGAGGGCTGCATGGAAATGTCCAGTGATGTCATTCCAAATATAAGCTTTCAGCCTTTTATTTAGGAGGACAAAGTTGGGTGAGGCAAAAAAGATAAAATTATATGCTGCAGAAATTTGCTTCCAAATTGATTATATAACCTGGGATGCTCCAAGTGTGCAAAATACTCCCAGTTGTATCTGCCTGTTCAATAAGATCTGACAGCACAGGCTCTCTCTGTCTCCCTTCTCTCAGGAAATGTCATCAACTGGGATCATGGAAATGAACCTTTATATTTATCTTATGGAAGTTTATGCCCTAATCCCAGTATAAACAATTTGACGCCTTCCAAAGGTTTTGGTTATAATTCTCAGAATTCCTTGATACTGGCTATAATGATGGTGAATGTTACAAGTTGTGCTTAAAATGTCTGAGGCGTGGCAGATTGCCTATCCTTTCTTTAATCTTTTGAATTCCCTAATGTGTCTGTATGCAAGAGCTGCTGTTTTGGAGTGGATAGAAAAAGTTTGGTAGATTGTGAATACATTGTAAAATGTTCCAAGTATTGTTAATAGTTTTTCTTAATATGTACTTCTATTATACATGGGAGTGTACAGGGTCTTAATGTACTATAAGTCAGCACAATATTGGATATTAAATATTATCTCTTGGTTATTTATTCATTTAGAAATGCATAAGGCTGCCCAACTCTAAAACCACTCAGGGTGGCGTACAGTAGAACAAGTCATAAAATACAATTCTAAATAAACCAAACCTGGAAGAAAAATGACCATTAAAAAACAATCATACATACAGGACCCATCGTCCCAGGCCTGGGGAAACAGCTAGATTTTGAAAGCTTTTTTAAAAACAAGCAGCATGGGCATCAAAAGTATCTCAATTGAGGTGATATTTATTCTCCAGGAATGCAGATTCAGTGTTTCCTTACTGGTATTTTTAAATGTGGAAATAATGTACACAACTTTCAGTCTTGAAAACCACTCCACATTCATTGTTCAATGGAACCGACCTACAGTTTGATGCAGGATATTTCTCCATTTCAAATCAAGAAAGTTGCTAAATTGGCTTTTTGATGTCTTGGTTGGTTTAAAGAAAATAATTACTAGCTAATAGATTATCTGCTTTTAATTGTGGAAGACTGATTATGTATTAATTATTTTATTATAGTTGCTATTTAGGCAACCTACCTAATACACATAAATTTGGCAGCATGTTACTAAGCATCACCATATCACTATATTTGTGTGTTTTTAGTTTTTGGTTGAATGCTCTTTTTTTTAGGGCTTGAATACAGGGTATTTCCAAGTAAAGGAAAACATGTTTTCTGATACATCAGTATTGTCATTTCCTGTTCCTTATGATCTGCCCCCTGAGAAGTATGAAAGCAAAGGTAAGGCATTCTCCTTCTATATAATTCTTTTTTCTACATATAAGGAAAATTAATGTTTTTCTTGCATGAATGTCAAAACATTTAGAACAATAAAAAACATATAGCATACTGGAAGAAGAGAATTACATCTAGAGAGCCTAAAACAGACAAGTATAGGTAGATTTTGGTACAGAAATTTCCTAACACGTTTCTTAACTAGATCCCCCTTATGACAACTGTTTAAATAACTGTGGCAACAATTGTTATAATATTCCAGTTTCAAATCCGGCTCAACCCTAAAATCTTTGCCTATCATTATCACTTTGTCAGTATGTTGTTATAAGTTTTTTGGAGTAAGGGTGAGATACAATTGGAATAAATGCATATGCTGCTTTAAATTTCAAGATATATCAGTGTTACGATTCATTTGTGTTATGACACTGCTATTGAAAGTACTACATTTCATTTGCAAATGGAATGCAAAACAACGCTACAATTAGAAATTCTGGCAGCCACTGTTACTACATACCATTCACTGTTCTGCTTGCTGATGACATCCCAAAAGGATGAAGAAATCAGGGCATGATACTGGTTAAGACAGTCAACATACAATCAACATCCTATTATTGCATTCAGTGCAAAAATATGCTCCTGTTATTGGAATGCAGCCCCTCTTATGTCCAACAAATAATAGGCGTATATTTAAGTATCCAAAGATTTCTAGTTTGCAGGAATATTGCTGATAAATCTGCAAATGTGTACATCAACTCTCTTCTAAACATTAGATCTTGTAATGGACAGAAAGAGAAAACATCCAGGACTTCTCCTTCAAAGTACAGACTCTTCTTCATCTGCTTGGCTAAAGACATCCTTTTTCCTTGCAGTCTTACACTATTTAAATACCAGCTCACAGCAGTTTACAGTAACGATCAACAATAAAACATCCACAGTATACAATCAAACATTTAAAATGTCTACAGTAAAAATACAGAATAAAGGCATAAAACAGCTGGAGGAAACTTAACCAATTAATAATTTAAAATACACATAATAATGTAAATATATAAATAAATATACATTTATTTATAAATTTGATAAATAAATAAAATAATTATGATAACATTCTAACCACTGAAGGTCCTCTGGAAGAGGTCTGCCTTGAGTGTATTCCAGAACATTGTAATAGATGGACCTTAGGTCTAAGGGGAACTATTCCATACAGCTGGAGCTCCAACAGAAAAGCAGCACCCCCTGGCTTCAGTTTCCCTTATTTCATCGAAGTGGGATACAGTCAAGAGCTTCTCCAATGTTGAATGTTCTGGACAGGCTTATCCAGATAAGAGGAGGCAGTTCTGCAGGTACCTAGGGCCTTATAGGCAATACAGGACTTTATAGGTCACAGACAGCACTTTGAATTGTCCAAAAATAGGGTGTGAAGCACAGGTTTAATTTGCTGTTGGTGGATAACACACACCAGTAATTACATTGCTGTACGCATTGCAGTTTCTGAATTGTCTTCAAAGGCAGCCCCATGTAGAGTACATTGCTGCAGCTTAATGGTGGAGTGATGAGAATATGAGTGCAGGTAGGGCCACAGCTGGCATTCCAGCCAAAGCTAGGAGAAGATCTTCCTGGTCATAGCCTCCACCTGGCCATTCAGCAGTAGCTGTGAGTCCAGGAGGACTCTCAAGGCATGGAACAGCTCCCTCAGGGGCAGCCGTTCAAGAGACAACCCTGCAACTGACCAGTAATCTCAATAAACAGTTACTCTCTGTTACGTGGTTCAATTTCAATCTGTTTCATCCCACCTAGACCCCTGCAACCTCCAGACACCAGGACAGGACTTCCATGGCATCACTAATATAGTCCAGTGTGGTGGAAATGTACAGCTGAGTATCATAAGCATACTGATGATACTGCATCCTGAATTGATGGATGACCTCTCCCAGTGGCTTCATGTAAATGTTAAATAAGACGGGGTAAAGAACCAAGCTCTTGGAGTATATTTAAGATGACCTCTCCTCCCCAGTCACCACTAACTGGAAGTGCTCACTAAGGAAGAAGTGGAGCCAGTGTAAGACAGTGCCTCCCACTCCCAACCACTGCAGGCAGTCCAGAACGATGCCAGCATCAATAATATAAAAGGTTGCTAAGAGAATTGGACACAATTGAATGGATAAAAAAGAGGTTTTATAGCACCAAAAGGAGTTAAATAGCTCTATCTAGATTCTAACAAAGGTCATCCACCTGTACAATCAGTGCCATTTCCATTCCATGTCCAGACCTGAATCCTGACTGAAAGGGGACTAGGTAATCTGTTTCCTCTAGGGCACTCTGTAGCTGAATTCCCACAGCCCTCTCAAAGCCTTTCCTAAAATGGAAATGTTGGAGACTGGACAATAGTTGTCAAGTATGAGTAGATTTAGGGAGGACCTATTGAGAAGGAGGCATATTACAAGGCTTCTTTCAAGGCATCAGCCCCTACTACAGAGGTACTGACAGTCTCCTGGATCCACCAGCCACACCTCTCCTCTCCTCCCCAAAGTTCAAAACACAGATGCCAGGTGAGGATAGATTTGCTGTCATGTCTGTAAAAGATCTGTGAGAATCTCCAGTCTCTCCTTTGTATTTTCATTGTAGGCCTTTACTTGCTGATTTGTCTCCCTTTTCCAAGATTCCATATCAGTGAAATTGTAATTCTCTAGAAATGAAGGGATATAGTGATGTTAGAAAAGATGTTTCTCTTAACTAGAATAGTATGTTCATAGTACTATACATGCATGGTGGAAAAAGAGAGAGATGATGTGTGGCTCTCCATCAACTCTACCAGGGTTTAAATACATGCCTTCTCTTGTAAAAATTTATACAGTATATGCTAGGATTGACCTGAATGGACAGAGTAGTTCAGTCCCTTCTCACCATTTCTTTAGCTCTGCCCCATTTCTTTCGACGCATCATTGAGTCCAATTATGGAAAAAAAGTGTTCCATTCTACCAATTATAACAACATAGAACCATAATGTTGGAATGACTGTTTGGCCGCTGCTCCACAATGGCAAGGGGATTAAAAAGAATCCTTTCCTCCCTCTTGGGTGCACATTTCAGATAAGATCATGCTGAAAGCCACCTTTATAGCAGCTAGCCAATTTGTGAATTCACTTATGTAACTATTGTAGTACTCAATGTGGGGTACTAGTAATAGTTATAAAATGTCATTTCTAAGAAGTATAAATGAATACTCTTCATTTCCTTATTATGGGAGAGTGAATTATGCTAGGGGAAGATTATAAATCTGCAAGTTCAGAAAATTACTTCTACCAGGCTTGTCTGTTTAATTTATTGCAAATTGCTGCATTTCTAGAGATAATTTCTTAGTTCTTATTATGTACATTTTTTTCATTCTTTCCTACAAGAGTCCAGTGCGGTATTCTGCTTGGTATAATCAAATGACACTTTCATTATTGTGCAGTGCATTAATATACTTAATAGCACATCAGTTTTATGAATTATTAGTGCTTTGGCAGAGAAAGCAGGAAAATGTATTTCCCTTCAAATTAATTGGGATTTTAATATATCATTGTGTGCAATAGAATTCTGAGAATAGATGGGTTTTAAAAGCTAATGCAGGGAAATGGAAGATCCCTTAGGATCTCTGGAAGGATTATTTTCAAAAAAAGGCTTTAACACAGGCATTCCTCTTATTATTTATCACATTTCTGTTTTCTAGTAAGCAAAGTATCACACAGCAGTCAAAGAGTCACATTAGTTTATCTTATGGCAGACTTATTAATATATTTATTTATAGATATATACCTACCTACAATTTAGAGGCCACCCAACTCCCAACAATTCTGGGCAGCTTACAGTTTAAAAAATGAGAAAAGTACAAAAAAACACAGAAAAAAATATTGAGCAGCCTGAAGACAAACAGGTAGACAAAAAAAACCCATCCAACAGGTGCTCTGCTATGGTGCTCTAAGGCATGGGAGAATTGCAATACCTTTAATAGCTTCCTGAACATCATCAGGGTAGGAGCCATCTGGATCTCTGGGAGAATATTGGTCCAAAGGGCAGGGGCTACAGCTGAAAAGGCATGCTTCCTCGGTCCTGCTACATGACACTGCTTAATCAATGAGACCTGAAGTGTGCCCGTTCTACCAGATCTCAGCAGACAACCAGAGAGCTGGTTCCTCCAATAACCAAGTTCAGTGCCATGAAGGGCTTTATAGGTGATAACCAGCACTTTAAATTGCAACTGGTAACCAGTGCAGCTCGCAGAGCAGTGGATTCACATAGGCATTCACGAGGTATGCCCATCACTGCCTGCCACACTGCATTCTGAACCAGATGTAACTTCCAGAGGTCTTCAAGGACAGCCCTGTGTAGAGCACGTTACAGTAATCCATTTGTGAGATGACTAAAGTATAATTGTCTGAAGAGCCTCCCAGTCCAGGAAAGGGTGCAACTGGCATTGTAGATGTACCTGTGCAAAGGCCCTTTTGGCCACAGCTGGCACCTGCTGTTCAAGCAGGAGCTATGAATCCAGCTGACCCCCAGATTGCACACCACTCTTGAAGTGCAACCCAAACCAATACCAAGATAAAGAATTTTTTGATGCTCTAATTGCTTTTCAGGTTATTTGTATAACATTGATCACTCATTTAAAGCTGATTTTAAAGAGTTGGTTCTTTGCAATAAGCTAATTATATTTCAAATAAAAGTTATTCATAAACTTTTTTATACTTTCAAAGTAGCAATACTGGATTATTTAAAAATAACTGATTGGTTAAAAATAGGTTTTAAATGGCTAGCTTTAATATAAAGAACTTTAGGAATGGGCGGTCCAATTTAATTTTTCTCAGTTCATCTTCATCTGTAGTATAAGCCTGCCCTTTTCATTCTCTTTGCAGATCGCCCATGGATTTGGAATATTCCATACACCAAAGCTCCTGATACACATGGCAATATGTGGGTTCCTAAATGAATAGTTTATTTAGCAACTTTATTCTGAGTCACTTGAATG